CTCATGCCCACCTTGCCGCTTCTCGACTTGCTCTCGTCCGCGATTGGTCTCTCGTTGAATGTGGGGAAATGTTACGTCCTGATCTGCGGGGCGCTGGATGGAGATGCCCTCGCTGCCCACATGACTCGGAAAAGGCAGCCGTTTCGCCTCAGTCCGTTTCGCCACCAGAGTCTTGTACCTCGGATTCTGGGTGGGCCCATCGGCCCATGAGGTGGCCTGGGTGGAAACGATGAATAAGTTCTGGCAGCGAGTTCGTCTTCTTCGCTCTCTCTCGCTGGGCTTGGCGACCACCATCCGTCTGTTCCACTTTAATTGCCTCCCCGTCTTGCAGTATCGGGTTCAGTTGGTGAGGGTCACCCCGGTGGTTCGGCGTCAGTATAGGGAAGCCTTGCAGATACTTACAGCGGGGCCTCGGCATGCGTTGAACTACGCTATGCTCACCCAGTTACGTGACCTGGGGATCTCACTTGAGTTCGTGGACCTGGGACTGTATGATAAAGCTACGGATTTTCGGGTGGTGATGCGGTGCGAGGCATTAGACTATGCACTCTATGAGTTAGATGGCTTAGCTAGTGGCTTGACTGGTGATGAATTTATTCCTGCTCGTATGTCTTCTGGATGGTGGTGCCATTCGATGACACGCGCGACGAATGAGGATGCGGCGGACTTTGTGAACTCTCCCATTGATTGAACTGCCCGTCTTATCCAGGCCAAAGTCCATCGGCATTCACGGTCGGTTCGTATGACTGCCACTCCATTATTGTGCCTGGGTGTACGGGTATCGAGGCGGTTAGTTGCAGCATCTCTCGAGGATATGTTCCGCCTGCGGACTAGATTGCGCGCTGTGGAGCGTGCCACGTGCACACATCTTGCTACCAACGTTCTCCGCGTACTGTCCAGGGGAGTTTGTACTTCGGCACGTTTTCATGCGAATGACCGTGGGTGTGGGGCCCCTGATGGCCTTCACCACCACAAGATATGTGATCGTTTCCGTGATTTGGCACTGCACCGTCCCCCAGGTTTGGAAGCATTACCCACGTCGTGGAGGGAGATGTGGCAGCACCGAGATACATGGCTTACCTGTCTCTGTCTGTTGGGACCTTCCTGAGGGCTCGACCGCGACGTTGCCTGCGCTGCCTTCATCGATGCCTTTCTGAAGACACGCGCCCATCATCGGCGCCAGACTCAGGTCCCCTCGTCCCAGGTCTTCGTTGCACGATTGCGTCTTCTGGCTCGTCGGTATACTGGTGTCGCACGACTGTCCAGGGCACGGCGTATTGGGCGGGCTGCCGCGCGAAGTGATGTCGTCTGAGTGTGACCGCTCCCTTTCTTCCCTCGCGCGTGTGCTCTAGTGCTCCTCTTTGTGTTCCCTTGCCTCTCCTGTCGCTTGCTGTCTTCCGTCCCCCCTGCCTCTGCCGCTGCTTCTCCCCTGCGGTGTGGGCGTTGTTGGGTCCTCGGTTTTTCCCGCCCCTGCCTTCCCCTCTGCCCCCTGCCTTTCTTCCGGCCCGCCCCCTCGGTCCTCCTGCTGCTTGTGTTCTGCCGTGCGCGTGCTGTTGCTGCTGGGGTTGGGCCCCCGCCTGGTGGGGGGGCGCGCGCGGGGGCGCGCGTGCACCCGCCCCGCCGCTCCCTGCCGCCCCCGCCGCCCGCCCCGTCGACGACCTGTTCAACTGTGCCCGTTGCGCCTCTCTGGGAGGTAGGTTGCCAGCCTCTCGATTTTGTCTAGGCGTTTCTCGGGCCTGGGTTGTGGGTCGAGGTGGCGGTGGCCTGGGTCGCAAGCGCACGTGGCTTGTGGGGCATGGACTCTGCCCCCCCCCGTCGCCGAGTGCGCCCCGCCGCTGCCGAGGACTCTCGTTCGGGAGGATCGGTAGCGGGCGGCACTGCCCCGCCCCGCCCCGCGCGCGAGGTGCCTCGGTACCTCCCGCGGGTGAGCGAAGATCGGCCACCCGTTGTGCGCGGGCGTCAAGTACCCTGTCCTTTCTCTCCTCCTTCGCTGCTCCTCTGCTGCTTCTGCCTCCCCTCCTGCACGGTCTTCGACGTTGGCAGGCCTGGCCTGCCGCAGCGTGGCCCTCACTGTTCATGGTCTTGACCCTGGCAACACGTTACCATAACGCGTATCTCCAACCCTTTGTACCTAATGCCTGAGCGCGCTCCGTAATATCAACGCCTACCTCACCACATCTAATCTTAATCCAATGCTAACCGCAACCTTTGTCCTCATGTGCCAACGCACCATCTCATCCCAGCGCCAACCTTTCGCCGACAGCCGCCACCGCTTCCACTAAGTCATCGCCTTACTACCTTACCCGCAGCTTTGTAATTGGCTGACGGTGCGCGAACGGGCCCTACCGGACCCATTCGAGGCAAATTCTTTTACCATAGACGAGTTCAACGTCGCAATATCCCTGAATGTCGGGGCAAGTTTTGGTAACATTCGAAGGCGAACAGGTTCCGAATATCCGGTTCGCGTGTGAACTGTTCGTGAACTCCCGACTTGGCTGCGAATGTTGCCAAACGTTGTAAGAGGAACGTTGCGGAAACGACCGCTTTTTTGGGGAGTACATTTGATGCCAACATTGTCAAACAATATGTGTTGCATGATTGTAAGTTTGTCTGCGTCTTCGGCTTCAAAATGGAAGATAAGATCGCGATCCGGATTTTGGATTGAAGTCGGGATTCCACTGGGGAAACGGGGGCGATGAGCTTTAGGAGAGAACGCTTGGCCAACGGCCACGCACAGGGCTGGTAGGGTTCGCGGCAGGGTGGGCCAGGTCGCAGTGAGATGTTCCCAGGTAGGATGAACATTTTTCGTCATCGAGAACAAGAGCCCCTAACCCCAATTAGTCACACGATGAAGATGTCGCCTCACTGAGCAGAGGTCCCTGTCTTCGCATTAGGGTTGATCCATCTGGGCGGTTTGTTCCGATGCATCTGCAGAAAACAACACCCCCCCTATCCCTGATGTTTTGGCCACCCCAACTTCGGTCCCCTCCCAAAGGGCTAGGGGTACGGAAGGTTCCTGTCGTGTCGACGACCCCGCCAGCGGCGTTCAACTGTGAACGCCGCGGGCGACCCACAATCGATCGATGTTGAACGGTTTGGACGTTTCGGAAACGGCCGATCGCTCAAGGTTGAACGATCCCCGCGGTGCCAAGAACCAACGCCGAAGTCGGCAAGACACGAACCTGGCCTACTTTTCTTGCTTGTGATTGGGTCTGCTGGGGAGCCCGTATCCCAGTGTGGAGGCGGTGGTTCCCCGGGGGTCCCGGGGCAGCGCGGGGCAGCCGGCATCGGGAGAGGCGGCGCAGCGTACAGGACAGCGCCTTGTCTCCGACCACCAAACCATCAGGAGGAAACAAAAACACACAGACACAATTAATCGTCGATTTCCCAGAAAATATGGGAAAATATGGGAAGTGGTGGGGAAGACAAAAACCCAGAAAATATATGAAAATATGGGGAATCTTTTTATTTGTGTGTATTTATGTGTGTGTCCCAGTTTCCCTTCAAACCACCCAAACCCAATCCGGAGGCCCTCATTTGCCCTCCGTTCCCAGGGGGGGGGGGCGTCGGGGAACGTTGGACAAGGTCAACACCCGTGGAGCCCGTAGCCTCCCGGCCCGAAGTTCGGGTCGTCGGGTCGGGTCGGGGTGGTCTGGCAGGCAGTCGCTCGACCTCCCAGTCCGTGGGCAGGGCGGGGGGAGAGTCGTGTGCCCTGGGCGCTCGAGGTGGCACCCGGGGCCTCGGGCTCGGTCTGGCCTCTGGAGGCCGCGCAGTGGGGGGAGCGAGAAACATCCCCTCTTATAGCTAGGCGTAAGTCGGGCGTGTCCCTCTACAGGAGGAATACTAAACAATTGTCAAAATAGTCAGGGGACAAATTCTTGATCATGTTTTGATCATCTGGGAGTATTTTTTGAGTATGTCTAATTTTTCGTCAGAAATGCGCCTGTAGGGGGACACGCCCGACCTAAAGTTGGGCGTCCCAGCCCCACGCCTGGCGCCCCGCTCGCTCAGAGTGCGGGGCTTGCGCGTCGGGCCGCGTGGGCGCGGCTTTCCTGTGGCCGCGCTTGCCCAGGGAGAGCGGCCGTCGAGGCTCCTGGGCGTCGCGAAGGGGGAGGGCGACACCTGGGGGTGGCAGCGAGGGCTGCTGAAAAGGGGTCTTTAGGGTCCCCAGAGGGGCCCTCCAGGGCCCCTCCCTGGGGGGCTTTCAGGACCCGAAGAGGGGCACCTTTCTCCGTTCCTGGGGCCTTCAGGGCCCGAGGAGGGGCACTTCTCTTATGGACACGTGTCTTGATTCATGTGGTCTTCGGCTCCATGAGCCCAGCTCTCGCGAAGGCGTTCCTCCTGGGCGTTTCGCCGAGGAGTCATTTTTTTTCGCCCCAGTCACTCGCATTCCCGTTGTGGAACAGATCGGCCTTCCGCACTGGATTCACCATTGCGCGTCGACTGGGTCAGTCGAGAATCTTCGGATCTGCTGGACGGACGTGCCCACGGACCACGCGGCGCTCATGGTACGCTGCCAGTGCCTCCCTTCGTCCTGGCGCAAGAGAAGGAGAACCACTTGGAGCTTGCACGACTGGAACGCTGCTTCAAACTACGCTTGCAGAAATGCTCACAGAGATTTCGAATCCATGGGTAAGCTCATGGATTACGTGGCCGACGTGCAGCAGGCCGGCGAGGACGGGCGCGAGCATGAGACATGTGTGCAGCGACGGCGATTGCGGGCGCCCCTGGCGATCAAGGCCCTGCGGCTGCAGAAGTGGGAAACCACCTCGGCGGAGCGGTCTCGTCTCAGTCAGCTGATCCGGGAGGGCCAGAAACATTGTCTCGATACCCTTAGGCGCATTAGCCAGGCTGACTTTTGGAAAGACGGCCATTTCGGAAGTCGCGGGAACTCCACACAGTAACTCGCATGAGGTGTTCGCCAACTTCGCGTCCAACGACAAATTAAGACTCGCGGGCGGCATTCACCAGGAGCGAGTTCATGCAGAAGTGGATAGGCGATGACCTGCACTTGCGCACGATTCTTCTGGACGTCGCAGGGCATCCTCATCGAATCGTCTGAGGTTGAGGTCGCTGCCATGCCAGTTCGTCGCCGCCGCGCTTTGGACCATTACGGGTGTAGTGCGATGGGCCTGCAGATCGCTTGCCAGGAAGCTGGCGAGGCCGTAGCCAGCCTCCTCAGCAAGATTGCCAGCATCGCCAACGAGCTCGCAGATATTGACATCATCGGCAGAGTTGCGGCCGAGGACCGTGGTCCGGTGTGTTCCGCCCGTCTCCGAATAATTTGTCCTTTGCCGGTTGTCCTGATCATCTTCGGCTGCATCGTCACTGCGCGCATGCATGCCATTATCGATGAGATAGTGAGCCAGGTGGACCCTTGTTTCCTGGAGTGTGCGAGGAGATGCCGGCAGGTCATGGAGATCGCATCTCCCATGAGCATGGTCATCGAGAAATGGCTTCGACATGTGTTCCGAAGCAGCGGCGGCGCAGGCTGACATCGAGCAGTCTTGCGACCACCTGCGCCCCCATCTCATCAGGGAGTGGATGGTGAAGAACGGCTTCGCTAGCCCGCTGCTGGCTTCAACTTTGCTGCGACCTCGGCTCTGTCCAAGGGTTAGTCAGTCTGCGAGTCGGTGGTGTTAGCGCCGAGATTCCACGCCGACTCATCGGGACCCTGGCAGGTAGTAGGTCAGCGTCTGCCGCTGGGAGAATACCACCTCTTGACGCCGCCCTCCAGCGGGGATCAGATTGGAACACGCGAGGTTTCCTCGCCGACGGCGCCCGCTTGGTTTTCGCGACGTACGTGGACAACCTGGTGGCCCCGAGCCACTCCCCAGAGGCCGCCGTCGCTATTTTGGAAAATTGCGGGCTGTTCCTCGCGCAGAATTGGCGGCTTCAGCACGGTGAAGACTCGAAAGAATTTTTCTTGTTTGCCGGGGGCACCGCGCCGCCATATCCGTCGCGCGTTCTTGGCAGCAGCGCGATGTCATGCGACGTTTGGGGCACACTTTGGAGCACAACGGCCGTATCAAGACCTGCTTCGAGACTGCCGGGCGGAGCATGTGGCGCAGCTTCTTTAGCAATCTTTCCCGGGGGCTGCTCGCTTTCTCGGAGTCAACGAACATGAGATTTCTCAAGTCGTCGATTGCGGCGATCGGTTCCTTTCGGGTGCCCAGCGCAAGATGGTGGGCATCTTGGTGAAAGTGCGACCGAGTGCTGGTGATACGGTTGAGTCTTACCGCCGGCGGCTGCGGAAGTTCACAAACGGCTCGGCCGCGAAGGTGGGCCTGTGGAGCCATCTATGGACCAAGTCAGTGATAACGTGGCACTAGCACGTCCAGCGTGGCCACGACGCTCCGGTATGGTCCGGCCCGTTGCTTCGCTTCCGGCCGTTGGATTTCTTGAACCAGCAGCGGCTCACAGAGTCCAAGGCCTACGAGTCCAAGACGCGCATCCGCGCCCGCCGTGTCTACGTCCACAGGCGGTGTCGAGGCGGCCCAGCGAGCTGCATCCTAATCGTTTTCGCTGCTCTTTCCCTCTTGCTCCTCTTTTTTCGCTCGCTCGCCTTGTCTTCTCTCTGTTGCATTGTGCTTGTGTATGTTAGCCAAGAGTGTCTAGTTCGTGGTTCTGTACTTCGTGTGCGTTGTGATCAGACGCGGCTGGCCAAACGCCCCTGAAACTGAAACTGGAACTATTTGTTGCTAAGGCCTGACGGCCAATGTCACCGACCCTGGATACCCCGGCCCTCGAGGGTGACGACATGCGTGATAAGACGTCGGGAGTAAATGAAAACGTGGCGGAAGAGGAGGCGGAGGAGGAGGAGGAGCAGGAGGAGGAGGAGGGAGGACGGGGGGAGAGGGGGGAGGAGGAGGAAGAGGGGGAGGAGGAGGTGCAGGAGGAGGATGGAGGAGGAGGCGGAGTCGGGAGGAGGAGGAGGAGGAGGAGGAGGAGGAGGGAGGAGGAGGAGGAGGAGGTTGCAGGGAGGAGGAGGAGAGGTGCAGGAGGAGGAGGAGAAGGAGGAGACGAGGAGGAGGAGGGAGAGGGAGGAGGAGGAGGAGGGGAGGAGGAGGAGGAGGAGGAGGAGGAGGAGGAGGAGGAGGAGGAGGATAGGAGGAGGGGGAGGGGAAGGAGGAGGAGGAGGAGGAGGAGGAGAGGAGGAGGAGGAGGAGGGAGGAGGGGAGAGGGGGAGATGGAGGGAGAGGGTCACCCGGGGGGATGCGTATCTGCCCCCTCCCCCCCCCCCCCTTCCCGGTGGGGAGGGTAGGGAGGGGCTTCACGACTACGATCTCCTTGTGTTTGGTGTTCGATTTCCTTTGATTTCGGGCGACGGCGATGACGATGACGACGACGATCCACGCAAGACGACGACACCGGGATGCGTCTTTCACACGCCGACAAGGTCGGCGGATTTGTCTAGTCCTCCCGGAGGGGCCCCGGATAGATGGGGTCGGAGGATCTGGCCGCATCGCCGAATCATCGGTGCAGCGGCTCGATGTGGGGCCCGATTTCGCCGCGCCGACGTCGCCGATGCATCGCCGACGTCGCCGATGCATCGTCGGTGCATCGCCGATGCATCGGCGATGCGTGGGCGATCGGATGCAATTTTCCGACCCCATCTACTCGGAAACCCTCTAGGAGGCCTCTAATGTATCGTTTCTCAATGAAATTCTCGCCCAAGGCCTGCGCGACAGGGTGCCCTGTGCCTGCAAAGAGAAGGATAATGACCACCTCGTGGCCACCGTTCTACGACTTCCTGCCTTTCCTGCTGGCCTCTTCTCTGTTAAACCGAACTGGGCTAGGACGAGGATGCAGACCGCTCCAGACCGCTCCGAAAATGGCTGCTGCGCCCGAGACATCTTCCAGAAATGTCGGATCTCAGAGATTCTCAACTTACCTTCGCCCGGTTTTATCTTCATCCTGGCTTCGTCCTACGAAGGACTTTTTCCGCCAGTCGTCCCGCATCCATCCCGCCGCCTTTTTTACCAACGAGGGGGTTAGGATGGTCAAGGGTGGGCCTTTTGCGGACGCAACTGTTTCTTCAAGGGGATGAAGGCGCAGCAGCAACAGCAGGAGGAGGAGGAAAAGGAGGAGGAGGAAGAGGAGGAGGAGGAGGATGAGGCGGAGGCGAAGGCGGCGGAGGAGGAGGGGGAGGGCGAGGAAGTGGGGGAGGGGGAGGGGGAGAGAAGTAGGAGGAGGAGGCCGACGAGGAGGATGAGCAGCAGGAGGCGGAGGCGGTGGCGGAGGCGAAAGCGGAGGCGGAGGGAGGCGGAGGCGGAGGAGGAGGAGGAGGAAGAGGAGGAGGAGGAGGGGGAGGAGGAGGAGGAGGAATGAGGAGGAGGAGTGAGGAGGAGGAGGAGGAGGAGGAGGAAGGAGTCAGGAGGATGATGAGGAGGAGGAGCAGGAGGAGGAGGAGGAAGAGGGGAGGAGGAGGAGGAGGAGGAGGAGGAGGAGGAGGAGGAGGGGGAGGAGGAGGAGGAGGAGGAGGAGGAGGAGGAGGAGGAGGAGGAGGAGGAGGCGGAGGAGGAGGAGGAGGAGGAGAAGAGGAAGAGGAGGAGGAGGAGGAGGAGGAGGCGGAGGATGCGGAGGCTAGACGGAGGCGGAGGAGGAGGAGGCGGGAGGAGGAGGAGGAGGAGGAGGAGGAGGAGGAGGAGTAGGAGGAGGAGTCAAGCTAGCCAGCTCGAGCGAGTCAAGCATGGCATGCCCAGTCCCACCCGCCCTCCCACAACATAAGAAGCAAAGCTGGCACAACTGGGGGCCGAAGTCACACCGGCCAGCCGGTTTGGTACAGCTGATGCGGCCGCGATGGCGGTTGCCGACGGGAACTGGCGAGCGCGTGTTGAATGCCGCGCACGCATTGCCAGACGAGTCGAGAATGGCCCGGTACACCGCAGGAAGCCAGAGGTGGCCGGAGGAAGCCCGACGGTCTGACAGGACACCCCAAAGCATTTTTGTGAAAAAGCATTGGGTTTTTGATGTTTTTATGTTGAAATGCTTGCAAACACACGGTGTTCGGTAGGATTCTGACATGAACGCGCGAGTGTGCTCTTTGTGGTGTTTTTTGCACAGGATTCGCGGCCTGGGTGCATGACAGAGCATCGCGAGTGCACCGCGCGATGACGTGAAATCGCTGGATTTGACAGAATTCTTAAGATTCCTTTGGTTTTCCTATGATTTCAGCAAGAGAGCCCGGGCGGGAAATTTGTACAATTTTTGTGAAAAAACATTGGGTGTTTGATGTTTTTATGTTGAAATGCTTGCAAACACACGGTGTTCGGTAGGATTCTGACATGAACGCGCGCGTGTGCTCTTTGTGGTATTTTTTGCAATGGATTATCGCCGTGGACGACAGGACGTCCATGTCGAGAGGAAAAAATAAGAAAAATGTTGATTTTGTATTGTTTTTTACAGGTTAGGATGGGACCACCCGGATGCGCCCGCTATCTGCCGGCCTGAGGGGGGAGTAGGAGTATATTCTAATAAGGAATAAGGATAGGAGGAGGAGGAGGAGGAGGAGGAGGAGGAGGAGGAGGAGGAGGAGGAGGAGGAGGAGGAGGAGGAGGAGGAGGAGGAGGAGGAGGAGGAGGAGGGAGGAGGAGGAGGAGGAGGAGGAGGAGGAGGAGGAGGAGGAGGAGGAGGAGGAGGAGGAGGAGGAGGTGAGATGAGATGAGACGAGAGCGGAAGACGTCCAAGCCGCCAACCGCCGAGATGAAAACGAAAAACGAATTACACCTCCTCGCAATCCTCGGGGGCCCCGCCCGCGTCCTGCCCCATGCCGAGGGCGGCGCGCGCCTGGGCCTCCCAGAACGGGAGGGTCTCGAACGAGACGCCGAAGCGCGAGAGCAGGACACCTGGTGTCCAGCAGGGGCGCCACGGCGGTCCTGGTCGGAAGACGGGATGGGCTGACGGCGCTGCGGGCCTCGGGCGCGCAGCAAGGATGGTGGAGGCGAGAGACAGGAGATCGGACGGGGTCGGGATCTCCAACTCACCCAGAGACCAGCCCGAATACTTGGACAGCCACCTGGGAAACTTGCGAGCCAACAGTCGGGCCTTCTGCTGCCTGAGACCCTTGCCCGCTTGGGCGGGATGGCAAGCCTGCGAGAGGGCCCTCACATTGCCCCAAGCAAAGGCCCCACAAGAAACACAACAGATGAGCCTGTGGCCAGCGATGACGCTGGCTCCAGTCTCGTTGAACACGCTGGTGGCTCTAAGGCAGTGCCCTGTAAGCTGCACCAAAACTCCAAGCTCGGGGTCCTGGGGGCCCTGGGAGACATCCGAGAGGACCGCTCTAAAGTGCACCCAAGCACGGGGGCAGGCGGGCTGCCGAGCAGGCCTTCTGCTGCCCCTAGGCGCAGCGGGAACCTCAGGGAGCCCCTGGGAGTCCACCCAGCCCCTTTGAGACATGAGCACTTCTTGCCGCCCAGCCCACTGGCCCACCTCCCGACCCAACAAGCTGAGCCCACGGACCTGGCTGGCGGCCTGCTGCACAGACGGATGC